TCGCAACCGACCGATGAACCGCAGCTCATCATAGTGTTTGATCGCAACCAAACAGTGGACCGCAGCCCAAGAGAATGTCATCTGACCGCAGCCAGGAAAAAGGACGAACCGCAGCTCGTATAGAAACGTTTGATCGCAACCAAACGGTGGACCGCAGCCCAAGAGTATCAATCTGACCGCGGCCAGCTTCGGAACCGCAGCTCAGGATAACCAATCCGATCGCAACCGAATTGGGGTAACACACACACATAACACATAGCAAGCACATGCAACCAATATTACACATTAGGAAGGGGGAGAAAACGTATAACAAAACCTATGCGTGATCCATCACATACTAAGAATAGTGCTAAGGGGTTCATACTTCTACCGCCTAGGTCAACGGGATACCAATTCAACTAGCATGCAATGTAATAGACTCGTAAACCTACGAACGGCACCCGAAATATCAAACTAGACATAGGCACGATGAACGGAGTCCGTTGGGACACCACGGGGATCGGGGGAACGTCAAACGGAGAAGCCGGGATCCCGAGATGGGGGAATTTCCAGCGGGTAGCCGGTGGGTGGGGGGCCACCCGCCGGCTGCCCGCCGGGATTACTGTTCCGGGCAGCGGGTCGCCGGCGGGCAGCTGCCCGCCCGCCGGCTACCCGCTGCCGGGCGGTGTTTCACGGCCGTGGGTAGGTGGCGGGTCCCCTACCCCCCACTGACTCTTTTCACACACTTTACGCCCCGGGAACCGTTGTGGAACCCGAAACCATGCTTAGACACTTTACAACGAAATTAACGACAACACGTAGCCAATTAACGAATCAAATTCAAGAAACGAACGACACATAACCTAACATGCTTTTCTAAATATAATCAACACCCAAACATGTGATTTCCCCACCCGATAACCCAAGAATAAGATCATACGATACAACCTAGGGTTCTAATCACTTTTATATCAACAAGAATACGGTTCGTCTTCTAATTGCAAGATTCGGTAAGAATAACACATAAGCATCAAGAACATCACACAATTATCAGGAACAACAAATAATCATCAAGAACTCCATATAATTATCAAGAACACCATAATTATCAAGAATCTCCCAATATCAAGATCATCAAGATCCCCATGGGATCATCACATCAATTACCAATAATAATCATCATAACTCGCCAATATACAATAATATGGGGAAACCCTAAGGGGGAATTATAACTATGAAAATAGGTTTTGTTGAGACATGGGTTACCTCTTAGCCTTAATTAATTCCTTGGCTATGAAGGATCTTTCTTTAAGCTTCCTTGCTTTCTTGATTTCTCCTAAGGGGATTCTTGGAGCTCTTTTGGGGTGGTGGGGCGTTAATCTTGTGGGGAGTTCTAGGTGCCTCTTAAGTCCCCTATTTATATATTTAGGAGTCCTAATTAGGAACTAATATTATAGGTTTGCTAATTCTATTCCTTTTGGAACTAAGGATTGGGCTTAGGGGTTGGGTTTATATATGAGGGCCCATGGACTATGGTGGGCCTTTTTCCCTAATTAATCATTATAATTTATTCTTTCTCTTGGGCTATTGATTAATTAGTAAAATGGTTTTAGGGGTCGTAACACGGGGTGTTACACTCTCCCCCCCTTACAAGGGGCTTCGTCCCCAAAGCCCGGTGTTATAGTCCATCCTTTCACCCCTAGACACCTCGTAGCTCGGCCTCCTGATTAGGGTTGCGGCCTTACGTTTGTCTTGGCTTGGGTAGGCTGAACTTTTGATGGTGTTGTGATAGAGAAGTTCCGGGTGTACCTCGGTTTCCTGCGCTGGAACTGGACGCCCCACGAGTGCCCAAGGCAGCCTCGATTGCTGCCACCCTCTAATCGAGTGCGCGTGTGGTGCGAATCAAGGATGAGAACCCTTCTTCCATGATTTGGTTCTGTTGGTTGAGTTGTGCGAGAATGCGCTCATTGACCGAACCCTCGTCCTGTCCCCTCGGGTCCCCTCCTGACCGTGGGTGCACTGACTGGTTAGGCCCGTCATCCTCCTCCTGTTCCGCATTTCCCTCCGAGCCCCCACAATCTTGCATGGCTCGCTTGAGTTCCCCTTAGGTAGCGCAACACCCTCTTTAGTGCATTCCAATGGGTGTCGTTGGGATTATGAGTGTATCGACTTAGTCGATTTACTGCAAGTGCAATGTCAGGTCTGGTATAGTTCATTAAGAACATCAGACTCCCAATTATTTTCGCATAATCCTCTTGGGACACACTTGCCTCTGTGTTTTTTGAGAGTTTTGCACTTGGGTCATATGGGGTTTGAGCCGGGGTCACTTCAAAACTGTTAAACTTCTTTAGCAGTTTCTCTGTGTAGTGACCATGTGACAACTTGTAGCCATCTCTCTCTTTGATGACTTTCACTCCAAGTATCACATCAGCTTCGCCCATAACCTTCATATCAAACTTGTCACATAGAGACCTCTTTGTCTCTTTTATTGCATTTATATTTGAGCTAAAGATTAACATATCATCTACATAAATGCAAATCAAGACAATGCTAGACTCAATCTCTTTGGAGTACAAACAAGCATCCGACCGGTTCATTGAGTATCCCAGATCTAACAGTGTTTTGTGGAATTTCTCGTACCACTGTTTGGGAGCTTGTTTTAACCCATATAGGGATTTTACTAGCCTACATACCTTTCCTTCTTGCCCGGGATTGGCGCATCCAGGAGGTTGACACAGGTAAAATACTTCTTCTAGGTCTCTATTTAGGAAAACTGTTTTTACGTCCATTTGATGGACTAGCCACTTGTGGGAAGACACCAGGGAAAACAATATGCGTATTGTGGCTATTTTGGTTACAGGAGAATAGGTGCAGAAGTAGTCTTCACTGAACTTCTATTTATATCCCTTAGCCACAAGTCTTGCTTTGAACCTTTCGATCGACCCGTCGGGTCTCATCTTCCTTTTGAAGATCCACTTGCAGCCAATTGGTTTGGCCCCCTTTGGTAGGTCTACAACCTCCCAAGTATGATTAGACTTGATTGAGTCTAGCTCACTTCGAATTGCTTCTTTCCAGAAGACCGCATCGACTGAGCGCATGGCTGCCTCAAAGGATTTGGTCCTTCTTCTAGAATTAACTGACACACGAATTGATCAGAAATTTCATTAATGTCATTTATTTCAGAAATGTACGTAATGAAATCAGGCCCAAAACTTGTCTCAGTCCTTTGTCTCTTACTTCTTCTAGGTTCTTCTGTCTCTGTTTCAGAAGTCGAAGGCAGTGAGGACGAGCCTTTTTCATAGGTAGTTGGTGCACGTTTTAGTGGGAAGATGTGTTCGAAGAACTTGGCCTCTCGTGCCTCGCACATAGAGTGGCCGTTTAGGTACATAAACCTATATGCAGCGCTATTTTCTGCATACCCCACAAATATTGCATTTGAGGTTTTAGGGCCAAGATTAGGTTTCTTGAAGTGAGGAAGACCTACCTTGGCAAGGCAGCCACCCCCATACTTTAAAGTATTTTAGATTGGGTGCGTAACCTTTCCATAACTCATATGGAGATTTCTCATAACCTTTGTGAGGTATCCTGTTGAGGATGTGGTTAGCTGTTAAGGCAGCTTCCCCCCACAGAGAGTTTGGAGCGGCTTATCAGAAAGACGTTGATCATTTCCTTGAGGGTTCTATTTTTCCTTTCAGCCACACCATTTTGTTGTGGTGTATAGGGTGCTGTCACTTCATGGATGATCCCATGTTTTTCACAAAAGGTTTTAAGGGAGGTAGACTCATACTCTCCACCTCTGTCAGACCTATGTCTTTTTATCTTTTTCTCTAACTGATTTTCTACTTCAGTTTTAAAGATTACAAATTTTTGTTCTGCCTCATCCTTAGTTCTAAGCAGATATATCATTGAAAAACGAGTGAAATCATCTATAAAGAATATATAATATCGCTTTCCCCCTTTTGTCTTAGTACTTTTAAAATCAGCTATGTCTTAGTGAATTAACTCTAAAGCACAAGTTGTATGATGCTTTGCAGTAACGAAAGGTTTTCTAGCTAGTTTAGCTTCAGCACAACTTCACATTGAGAAAGCGAATCATTTTGCACGTTTGAAAGCATATTCATAGTTTTTAATCTACTCATGCATTTGAGACCAATATGTCCTAATCTAGCATGCCATACATCAAAAGAAACAGCAATATACGCAGAACCGTCATTACGAGTGGCAAGATTATTCATGAAAGTCTCAATGTTAGCAGAGGTAAACACAATGAGGGGCAAAACAAACAGCCCCCCACGTAAATAAGCTTTCCCTAAATACTCCCCCCTACGAGTTATGATCATTTGTTCGGATTTAAACACAAGTTTGATCCCGGCCCTAACCAACAAAGGCCTCGAGACCAAATTCCTTCGTATGGAGAGGACGTACAACACATCAGACAAAAACAAATACTTTGTGGAATTGAGTTTTATCTCTACTGTTCCTACACCTCTTACCTCAGCAGTACTGTCGTTTCCCATAAAGACTTGATCTCCTTGTCCTTGAGTGAAGGCACGGAACTCCTTGAACATGATCCTACTCGCGCAGAAGTGACGAGTTGCTCCAGTGTCAATGATCCACTCTTCCGTGCCAGTCACCACACGCCTCCAGCGTCACAACCACTGCTATGACTTCAATCTCTTGCACCACGTTCGCTTGATGCTTGTTTTCTTGTTGAACGGTCCTCTGGTCGTTTGCCCCCCATCGGCGGTAGCATTGAGCCGCGCGATAACCGTTCTTCCCACAAACGTAATAGGGTCCTCCTTTCCCTTGCTTCTGGTTCTTGTTGTTTTTGAACTTGATGTTATTGTTAACTTTGAATCCTCTTTTCCAGCCTTTGCTTTGTCCACCATTCCCAGTTTTGGACCTATCACCTTTAACATCACTGGATTCAACCATGTTAGCTTTTAACGTACCAGAATTAGAAATAGACCTTTGGCGATATGCGTCTTCTATATTGATGTGATTGACCATCTCTTCCTAGGTTAATCCTTGGACTCGTGATTCACTTTGTTTTGAAACTCTCCCCAGGGTTCTGGCAGCTTCTCAAGTAAGGCATAGGTTTGTAGCATTACACTTACCGGAATTAGTTCAGCTTCAAGGTCGGACACCAGGTTCTCATATTCGTGCACTTGCTCGATAACTGGTTTCGTATCTACCATGTGATAGTTGAGCCAGCGCCCAACGGTGTACTTTCTCCGGCCAGCATCATCAGCGCCATACTTCCTTTTGAGCATGTTCCAAATCTCCTTTGCAGATTTGTATTTAGCATATATGTCTAACAGGTTGTCAGACATATGGTGCAGCAGGATACCACGAACGGTTTTGTTGTCCCGCTCGAACTTAGCCCGGATGTCTTGGGACTTGTCAGCTGCGACAGGTGGTCGAGGAATAGAACCAGGGGTCCTAGGGGAGTCGCCATCTGGTTGAGGATTAGAAGACTCACCAGTTTTGGTTTCAGCAGGTTTAGGGACATACGTGAACACGTATTCTAGCTCAGCAGATTTGAAGTGTATGAGCGTCTTGACTGCCCAACGACGATAGTTTAGGCCGTCAAGAGGTTGAAGCTTGGCAAGGTCAGTTGCAGGCTTAGATCCGAAGGTCGACATGATAACTTAAGCACAGATATTTGCTTTTAACTGTTGGAAAATTGGTCAGAATATGTCGTAGATCTAGGCTAGTGTTTATATAGGCTGAGTATAGAAGAAACCCTGAATCAATCGGTGACGTGTGCAAGACACTACCTTAAAAACAAATATTGCCCGGAGACGGTAACAGTCTTTGTTAGGAATAAAGTGTAATGGTTTTGATATGCCAAATTTGTATTTGTAGATCCTGCAATTTTATTTCTTAGGTCTAGTAGAGTCTTAGACCATGATCGGGAAATTATTTAAGTTGGAAAAGAGAAAAACAGAGGAAGATGCATGAAAATAAAAGAAGAAGATATAAAGCCTAAAATCAAGAATTTTTCTAGAGAAAATGACAAATTGAAGAAGATGATGAATGATACAATATTCACGTCAATGCTACTCAAAGAAATATCCCAGAAGAATTTTCGTGAAGAAAATTAAGATTGGAAGAATGCATGAAATTGACTTGGAGATCAAGCATCTATTGAAAGAAAGGAGTACATCAAATGTGATTGGAGATTTAATCAATAGTTGTACGGATGAAGTGGATGATGCTTGATATGTTATGTGAAATGGCTCAAGTTCAAATCTCACCATTAATAATTTTTACAAGGTAAAATTTGAGAAGCCAAATCTAATCAAATTTGATGGAGTTGGGCGCCAATTACAAGTGGAATTTGGGAAGCAATTGCACTTGGGTGGCAATAATCAGAATTGAAATTGGGAGCTAGTTTCAGAGAAATTGAAATTGGGAGCTAGTTTCAGAGAAATTGAAATTGGGAGCAAGTTTCACATGGGAATCAATTCAAGTTGGGAGCCAATGTAGAATTGAAATTGGGAGCCAATTGAAGCAATTTCAAAGTTGGGGACCGATTCAAAGAGAACCCGATTCAAAGAGAAGTCTGGGAGCCAATTTCGAAGTCAAAGTCAATAATTCAAATTGGGAAGCAATTGAAAGCACCAGGAGAAGCATAATTCAAATTGGGAAGCAAAAAAAGTCAATTACAATCAAATTGGAAAGCAATTGAAAGCACCAGGAGAAATTGGAAAGCAATTGAAAGCACCAGGAGAAACTTCGGAGCCAATTGCAAGTCAAAGTCCATTGGGAGCCAATTACAATGGAGAAATTCAAAAGTCAAAGTCAATTGGGAGCCAATTACAATGGAGAAATTCAAATTGGGTGCCAATTACAAGCCAATTGAAATTGGGTGTCAATTGCAAAGGAGAAATTCAAATTGGGTGGAAGTTCAAAATCAATTTGAAGTCTGAGAACACCCAGACGTGAGAATGAAGAAAAAGAAGAAGAACTTACAGTAAAAATATTCTCACAAGGAAAGATACTAGTTTAACTAGTATGGGATTAAATTAATGAATATTTTTAAATCCCAAAGATACAAAGACCACTTCAGAGCTGATCAGAGAAGTCATTCTACACCAAAATAGAGACCCAGATATTTCCACTCAACGTTAAACCAGAGGAATATCAGATGAAGTTTGGGAGCTTATTTACATGGAGATAAAGATCCATCAAACAGCTAACTTATCCTTTTTGACATCTTTGCGGAAGATAAGATAAGGTCTCTGACAAAAAGATACAAGATTTCAAAAATGAGAGCGTCTCTTTCCAACGGACAGATTCTCATTACCAGCTATAAAATGATGAAGATATGAAGACTTGAAGATAATGAACTCGTGAAGATCAGTTGAGAAAATCACGAACAAGAGAGCAGAAAATTCGAACTCATCAAGGAGATCGAATAGAGCAATTATGTTTGAAAGAACATAGAGCAAAAATCTCATTTTGGTATAGAGCATGCCAAAAATCTTCAAGTGAGAACTGAGAAAAGAAAAAGAACTCAGTGAGCTTCAAGAGAAAAATATTCTGAGAGTTCTTAAACAGAGTGAAGCAGAGCATAAAAATCAAGTGCTTTACTTGATACACTCAAAGAGAGAAAACACTCAGAGCATTCAAGAGAAATCATTCCAGAGTGTTTTATCTTCATCAAAGAGACCTGCACATCATTGAAGATCAACTACAGAGTCTCAGAAGTTGGAAGCAAGACAACACTTGTTTTGGAGCAAAACAAGAGAAGGGAGGAAAGTAGCACGGAGTTGTGAAATCCTGGATTGTCACACGGAGCTGTGAGATCCGAAGCAGTAGTGTCGGAGGCACTGGGCGTGATTAGTGCGGGATTTGTGATCAAAGCACTAGATCACGGGATACGTTTCTACCGGAGTGTGGAAGATGGGGGGAAAGTAACGCGGAGTCATGAAATCCTGGGATAGTAGCGCGGCGACGTTAAACCCGAAGCAGCAGAGTGGTGTCACTGGGCGTGATTAGTGCGGGCTTTGTGATCAAAGCACTAGATCACGGAAATTCATTGTATCTTGGAACCAAGGAGTGGTAGATATAGTGAATTGCTCTTGGAGATAAGAGCAAGTGGAGTAGCAGGATTACACCACCTCGCGAACCACTATAATTGTCTTGTGTTCTTTACTGCTTTCTTTACTTACTGCTCTTTACATATTCGCTCTACACGAGATATACTGCTCACACTATCTCACACACACTTTATGTTTATTTATTTCCGTTGTACACCATACTCTAACAATCTAGTTAAGAGTTTTGGTTGATCTCTGGCTTAGCAATTGTTGTGCTGTGCGAAAAAGTTTGAAAGTCTATTCACCCCCCCCCCCCCCTCTAGACTTTCACCTTACCTCTTTTGGGACCAACAATTGGTATAAGAGCCTGTAGCCTATTTGAGTCAGTTTATACCAACCTTTGGTATTTAAACACGTTGCCCAACTGGGTTACCTGTTATTGACTGCTAGGCTGATCCATTCTACAAAGTGTGTGAATTGGATTAATCTTTCAAATATCTCGTGATGATGATGAAGAAAGATTTAGCTCAAAATCTATTATTCTCACTTGATAAATTTGATGATTGGAAAGTTCGTATGCAGGTACACTTATCGGCTTTACACGATGAAATGTGGGAAGTTATTTCCACTGGCCCTATAGAAATATTAAAAATCAATACGGCATTTGTTATATCCCCGGATTCTCCACAGTACGTACAAAAGCCAAAACCGGAATGGACATCGGACGATAGAACACGGAATAATCTTGACAATATTGCCAAGGATATTCTATTCAAAGCCGTTGATGATACAATATTTCCGAAGATCCGAAAGTGTGCCACTGCCAAAGAAATATGGGAAACTCTCATCAAGATTGGCGAAGGAGATGAACAAGAAAAAGACAATAAGCTCACAATCGCCATGAAGAAGTTTGAAGATTTCAAAATGCTCTCAAATGAAAGTGTTGCAGACACGGAAGCTCGAATGATCAAAGTTCTTGGAGAGATTAGTGATCTTGGTAAAAATATTAGCCATCTGCATGGGATATGAAGGTTACGGCTATGCGCGATCACCGAGATCTAAGAATGTTGTCAACAGACAAATTATTTAGTGATCTAAAAGCATATGAGTTCGAAATGAAGGCCAAAGATGATGATGTTCATGAAGCTCGAAATTCTGCTCTAATGGCCGAACAACCGTCAACCTCCAGGTCAGTAGAAAATAATGTTGATTTTATGACTAACGAACAATTTGCTCTTTTTGTCAAAAAGTTTAGAAGGTTTATGCGAAAAGGAGACAACAAAAATTCTGCTCGTGGAAAATTCATCTCTCGCATAACACAAGAAGAAAGAGTCGAAGAAAATAAGGATTTATGCTACAATTGCCGCAAACCCGGACATTTTAAAATAAATTGTTCGTATTCGATCGTTAGCAAGTATCAAGGCAAAAATGTTGAATCTACGCCGAACAAATCCGAAAGCAAAAGGTTCAAGTGCGACAAAAGAAAAGCTCTCGTTAGCAACGAACCAAACGAAAATGATGGTTCGGAGGATTCATCATCAAGCGATGAAAGTTCATGTTCGGATGATGATACGGCGCTAGTATGCAAGTCAATTGAGTTGAGTACAAGTGAAGAGTGTCTTATGGCTCTTGAAGCAGAGGAAGAAGAGATAACATCTAATTCTTTCAATTCTGTTAATTCTTCTTTTTCTCGTGAATCTATTGACAATCTAATGCGAGAATGTCAAGAGATTATGCTCACTCATCCTCAACTCAAGGAGCGCAATAATATTCTAATTCTTGAAAAAGAAGAAATGAATAAAAAATTGCAAGATACTTTACTTGAAGTGAGTAAATTGAAGAATGAAAATATTCATCTTCAAGAAGAGTGTAAAGCAAGAGAGGTTAGAGAACATAATCTTAGAGCTACTATTGCTACGTTCACTAATTCGTCTAAAATTATAGATAAAATGGTGAGCATGCAAAAGCCATCAGGAGATAGAACCGGAATCAGTTATGACTCCACATGTTCTCAAACCCCTCAAAATCTGACTAATTCTACTACTACTTTAAATAATAAAGTTCAAGTGGTAAAATTTGTTAAAAGTCAGAATAACACAATGAGACAAGGACATGGCTATCAAACAAAAGCAAAGTTGAATGTTGAAAGGCCAAAACAATTCGATTACACGGCAAAGCAACAAAAATTCATGAAGCAAAGATATGCCAAAGAGTCAAGTGCAAAAAGATTTCATAGAAAAGAGGGAAGCTTTTCTAGAAATAAAGTTGGGAGACTTCATCCCACTAAAAAGGTTAGGTTGTGCAATAGATGTAATGCTTTTTATAGACCAAAGCAACCATTCTCTTCCCAGGTGCCAAAATATAAAAATAATTTTCAAAACCCGGCGCCAAAAATGTTTTCAAAAGTGAGTTATGATTATCGTGTCTCTAATGGTTACAAATTGCCTCATCTTAATTCAATAAGATCAAGGTGGGTTTGGTTACCAAAAATCACTAACAGTAAAGGACCCAAGCAAGTATGGGTACCTAAAGTTAATTAATCTTTTTTGCAGGATGTTTGGTACATCGATAGTGGTTGCTCACGCCACATGACTAGA